CAACATCACAAGAAACACTATGTTAGCAAGAAAGAAGGGAAGTCTTTGAAATTCTATGTAGCATTTCCACTGTCTGGGAAAGAAAGCCTTGAAACTGCGCTTTTATTCCAGGGCCTGGAATGTGGGAGAGGGTCCTGGTACCCAAAGAAGAGCCCATAAAACCACTTTGGTTAATTGCCTACCTCTGGTCACTATCTGTGTTATGAGGGAGTCCCTGATGCTTACAGAAAGAGCCCATAAATAACTTTAGAAAGTGCCCCAATTTTAATTAACTGCCTCCTGTCACATATTTGTTTTACAACAAGAAGAACAAATGGGATCTGGGGCAAGATAAAGATTCCGGCTAACACACCCCAACACATACCTAAGTTTGGGTAGTCACATTCCCCCAGGAAAGCTGGTGTTACAGAACACAGGGGCCAAGGGCCAAAAAACTGTTACACAACACCCCCCCACAGAACCAAGGGGGAACGATATATTATTACCAAAGGGACCCCCCACTAGGTTTGATTGTCTGTTGCCATAGGAAAGACGTCTCTCAATGCCAGAGATTTGTGAAAAGGAAAGGAAATGTTTATTTAATGCTATACAGACTTAAAGTAGTGACCTAATGTCTTCATTAAGATATCAATGATAGACAAAAGGAACATAATTATGTTTCTCTTCCTCTCTCCTTCCCTTCCCCTCTAAAGACAAATAAATAAATCTTAAAAAAAAAAAAAAGATATCAAAGTCCTTTTTGGATACCTAAAGACACCCACAGTGCTTCCTTCTCCCCCCACAGTGCTTCCTTCTCCCCCTGTCCTAATTCGGGGTACTGTATCTCAGGAAAAGAAGCACATGTCCTTGATTCAGGCTCCCGGCACCGTCAGCTGTGTCGCAGTCCAGTCAGGATCTCTGATTAATCCAAAGCCACGTGGCACCTTCTCATGGCCTACTGGCAAGAGCTCTTTCACCCTCTTCCAGGCAAAGTCTCTCCTGCTTCCAGGTCACGTGACCAAAGGGAGCACCCCAAAGCCATGTGGTCCTCTTCTACAAAAGCTGCAGGGGTCCCCACTCTGGCCCAAACCAGTCGCCACTCTGGGGGGCAGTTGCCACTTTGCCAAAGCTGAGTGGCAGTTTTCTGCTAAAGCTGCATGGTGATTCTCTCCACCCAAGCTGCGGGGGTCCCCACTCTGGCAAAGCCTCGTGGCTCTCTCCTCTCAGTGGCTGCTGTGTCTGGGTTTAAATCCCCACGCCAATCTTCCTCTCTACCCCCATTTCTGACTCTTCCTGCAATCAGTTACACCTGCCAGCATTCCTGTATGATTCCAAGTTTACTGGGCTGCCATCGTGAGTCTGTGGCAGGTGTGGCCCCATGTCATGAAGCCAATCTTGTCCAAGCTCTCACGTAGGTGCTGTCACCTGGGGGACTTGCCCCCAGTTACATCTCAGGGGCGGGGGAGTCCCTTTCCATCCCCCTGGCTCAGAGCATGGCCACAGCTATTTAACATATCTATGCAACCAGTTAAAGGTTATAGATATGTTAAATGACCAGGCCATGCATTAGCTGCAAAGCTGTGGCTGTACAAAACAGCTCTGCATGTTCCTGCTCCATGTGTCCCCTTACCCCACTCACACCTGAGGGGGGAAGGGGTGAGGACATCTTATATGTCTTTTTAATATTTCCTGGACACCTTTAGTTCTGGACCCCATTCCAAATCCCTATTTGGGGCCCCCCTCTTGGCTGTACCCTATATCATCACTGGTACTGCATTTACCCATTAGTCAATATGTAATTTTTTTTCCTCCTATCCCTCCAACTATATAAGTCCTCAGAACAAAGAACTCGCTCTCTCTCTTGGGGACTCTGGGTGCTCTCAGCTCCTGGGCCATCCTGAGGCTCCAGCCTCAGGCTGCCCAGGGGCTTGCCACCCTGGTCTTCAGCCTCTCTGTCTTTTCTCACCCTGCTTTGCCCTGAAACTTTGTCTTTTATCCCCTATTCTACCCAGTCCTGTTCTCATCCATGGGAACAGGCCACTAATAAACTGATTACATGCTATAGATTTGCCGATATGTAATTCTTTACATGAATCAGCAAGAAGAACCAGGTCTCCTTTGTCAGCAAAAGGTTATAAATTCAAATTCTGAAGGAGCCTATGTTTCCAAAAGTCTTTCTCCTTTTTGAGGGGCTGTCCGAAGGGCCTTCCACAACCAGGGGAAAGGAGAAAACTGCAGCAGGAGACTGGGCATGGGGGGGGGGGCTGTGCCTCAGTGTTGGGGCCACCAAGGGACTGGGGTCCCCACGATGCTCCTGAAGCTGCACTGCAGACACGGAGCTTTTCTTTGCACTGGAAGAACTGCAGCGCCTTGTCATTATCCAGGTGTGGTGAGACCGACAGTCCCAGCCATTGAAAAGATGGCTTGTTACTCTCGGGTCCCAGGAGGAGGGGAAGGATGGCCTCACCAGGGAGCCGCAGAAGCACCAACATTGGTCAAGGAGCAGAGGGAGTGAGGGGAAAACCTGGGCCAGAGCCTTTATTGTGGTTCCACAGAAGGCGAAATAGGTGAAGCAGGTTAAACAGGTTTAGATGGGCTAGTTTCATGATGTCCGCAGGCTGTGGGGCACAGATTTGTCCTGGGCTGAATGCTTCCCCACCTCCGGTTCTTCTGGAAGGTGCACAGTGGCCCCGAGTGTGAGAGCCAGCTAGAGGAGCTGGTTGGGGCTGTGGATTGGTTGGTTTGCATTCAAAATGCCTGCTCATGGAGGAGTTGTTTGCTATCTCCGAGAATTAGCTAACTCTGGGAATGGCAGTCAGAGCATCAGAGTGCAGAAAATAAAAGATATGGCTAATACAGGCGGGGACTGAGGAAATTTCTGGGGGTTTCCAATCTGGGAAGAATTTCCAGATCCCAATCACAGAGTTGAGCCTGGCCCAGGATCACCTCCAAGGCACCCAGCCCCCTGCCCTGCAGGCTGCTTCAGGGCCAGAGTTCCCCCACTCCCCTCCCTCCTGGAGCCTGTAGACTGGCAGTCAGGCCAGCGGGCCCATCTCTCTGATCTAAGCCTCCCTGGGCTTCTCTGCCTAGGCCTCAGGGTGTAGATCTGGGTGCCTCTTTCACGCCTTCTGACTGCTGTGTTCCTGAGTGAGTTCTCCCGCACAGAACCCAGGGCCCACGTGGGTGCGCAGGGAGGCCTCTCCCAACCCTGAGGTCCATGGCGTCAAGGGGAAAACCAGGCGCCCTGGCTAAGGCTTTCTTCTCTGGTGGCTAGAACCTTTTAAGCTTCGTAGTCCTGAAGGGGAAGTGACTGCCACCTCTGCAAGCAGGAGAGTTCCTCTCCAAAGTCCTCCTCTGTGTTGAGCCTCCCTCAGGGGCCCCTCTCACTTCTTCACTAGGGTCTGCTTCCCTCTACACCTAGCCTCAGTCCAGGGCCTGGCTTCAGCTGGGCTCAGCTGTCATTTGTCCAATGAATGGGGAGAGGACAGTCTAGGACAGCAAGTGCACGCTGCAAAGGAAGGTATCTGCACAGCAGGGATTCAGCTTCAAATTCCAGAGGAATCCATAGTTTGTTGTCGCTGGTTATTTTAGGGCATAAATGGAGCCCCTGGCAGACTGGAGTAGGGTCTGGGATTGTGGGGATAGATGGGAGACAGGCCGCGTGGTGGACGCAGATCCCAGCTGGACCCCAGTAGTCAGACTGGGCCTGGATATCTAGGTGTGCTCAGTGGACAAGGAGACACCTTGCCCCAGGTCAAGGGCACTGGTAATGTGGGATGTCTCCCCTGAGGGGTCTGTGAATTTCCTCAGCATCCTTGCTCATCCTTCTGCTCCCCACTTATACATCTCCCTGTCCTGTGTGCCTTCCTGGCTGTGGCTTGTGCTGGGAGGCTGGTCATGGACTCCAGAAGTCCGATTCCTGGTCAGGAGCAAGTGTGAATCTGGGGATCAGTGTGCAGTCCCTTCAGTGTCTGTGTCGTGGGAGGTGGTGTGGTGCTGGGAGCTTCTGGGAGCCTAGGGGTGTGGGTGTGGGGAGAGGGAGAAATTCGTTCCCAGCTTCACTCCACAGCCCATCCCTTAGTAGAACAAAGGAGGACCTCAGGCACTTTCCCAAACGGACAGTTTCAGTTTTCCATGGGTGGGGGGAGAACAGGGGAGCAGACTTGCCAACTTGGAGTCTCAGCCTGTGGCGATGCTGAACCTCGTTCGTTCCTCTCTTGTGCATGGGGACCTGAATCCGATCCTTCATGGACACCCACTGGAATGGAGAGGGGCAGTTTGTGGGCAAAGAAAGGAGTTTTAGATCTTCGAGGGCGCTGCTGGGTTGAGCTCACCAAGGAGGACGAGGATTAACCACAGGACCGTCTGTGGCTTATAACTCTAAGAATATGATTTTCACTTAGAGTGTGAGAGGCCCGGGGTTCAAAGCCCCACTTAGCCCCCCTTTGAAGAGTGGCTGGTGGTTGTTTGTTGGAACCTAGGGTCCCTGAGCTCTGCTGTTGGGTTTGTGTTTGCCACACGACATGCCCAGCCAGGGTGACCCCTTCATCCTTTCTGCTAGTGGTCTGCTCTGCCCTGAGGGGCCGCCCCATGTTGAGCAATGATTTAGTAAAAGTTAACGTTTTATAACTGTAGATGAGGAGATAATAGTAGTGGCTTGCTCTGTTGACTAAACTAAAGGAAAAACTGTGGGTGGCTTTTCTCTGGTAGCAAATTTCCAGTGGACTCGCTTTGCTCATAGAGGAAGTTGAGGAAGGAAGCAGGTTGTAGGAGACCTGGCACCGCCACCTGGGGCGTGGAGGGGCGGGGCGCAGCGGAGGGGCGGGGCGCAGCGGAGGGGCGGGGCGCACACTCCCTGCCTGCCTGACGACATGGGGTTGGTGCATTTAAGAGATTGTACCTAAACGCAGTATGCCAGGAATTACTCGGAGGTCCATGCAATTTGTGCGTTTTTTGCTGTCCAAAGGATATTACCCTCCCCCACCCCGCTATAATGTGCTGTATTTTGTTGGAATCTGAATTTGTTCAGTGAAAAATTTGTCTTCATGTTTGCTAATTGTTTCTTTTCACTGACATTTGAACACATTATTTTATAAATGATGGGATTCCGGGTAAGAATGGAATGCTTTTTTTCTTTGAATTTCATTTTTAAAAATTGTATCAGTTTAGAAAGTCCACCTAAATGTTGTGGTTCAGTGCACTGGTTTTGCTCCTGTGACTGGAGGAAAGAGTGTTAAATTTGGTATTTTATTTTATTTGTTTATCTTTTTAATCTTTTTTTAATTGTTGTTTGAATACAGTTGTCTCCATTTTCCCACCTCTTTCCCCCGTTCTACCCACCCCCACACCTCACCCAAATCTGGCATTTTATAACATGTTTCTCTAAGGTTAGATATGATTTCTAAATGTTACTTTTAGTTGTGTTTGCTTTTGGTACAGTAAAATATTGACCTTGTTTTTTTTTTTTCCAATAGTTCCTGATATTTATTTATTTGTTAATTAAATATTTTATTTATTTATTTAGAGAGATGGGAAAGGAGGGAGAAAGAGGAGAGAAACATCAATGTGTGATTGTCTCTCATTACTGGGGACCTAACCTGCAACCTAGGTGTGTTCCTTGACTGAGAATTGAACCCCCAACCTTTCGGTGTACAGGTCGACGTTCCAATCAACTGAGCCACACTGGCCAGGGCTGATAACAATTTATCTTTTAAAAAAATATATTATTTATTTATTTATTTTTAGAGAGAGGGGAAGGGAAGGAGAGTTAGAGAAACATCAATGTGTGGTTGCCTCCCATGTAGCCCCCACTGGGAACCTGGCCTGCAACCCAGGCATGTGCCCTGACTGGGAATCGAACCAGCGCGACTCTTTGGTTTGGAGCCTGAGCTCAATCCACTGAGCTACACCAGCCAGGGCTGATAACAATTTATCTTATTTAAAAAATTAAAAATTATTTTGCCCCAACTGTTCTTGGTCTGCCCTTTGGGTAGTTCTGAGCTGCTGGAACCTGCCACCTGGCCCTGACTGAGAGAAGGTTGGAGACTCCAGGGTGCCCACCAAGTTACCTGCCCCGGGGTCTCTGCCTTGGAATCTGTTTTTTTTGGGATACAGGGGCCAGAGTGAAGCAGCCCTGAGCAGCCCTGGAAGAAGCAGGTCGGTCCCTGCAGGGCAGGTGTGAGCAGCTGAAACTGGTACACAGACTGGGGATGAGAGAACACTCAAGTTAATGTTGCTGGATATGAGCATGGCATTGGGGATATTTAAAAACAGAAGGGCTTTAATTGTAGAGATATTTTTTTAAAAAAGCAAAATGCTTTGATGGGTAAAGCAATACTGTATGTTCTTTAAAATATGTTTAAAAATGTGAAGATGTGTTTTTTTAAAATTTATTGATTGTTGAGAGAGAGACAGATAGATAAACAGACATCGATTTGTTACTCCACTCACTCATACATTCATCTGTTGATTCCTACACGTGCCTGGGTGGGGGCATCTCACACACAACCCTGGCAAGCACTGGGACTCTGCTCCAGCTGAGTGCTACCCAGGCGGGGTAGACAGGGTTTCAGAATTTGCAGGTTCAGGGGAGGCTGTGCAGAGGGTTTATGAGAACTCTGTATTTATACTCAATTTTGCTGTGTACCTGCAAAACTTCTCTTAAAAAAAACAGAAAAAAATTTCAGCTACTATTTCTTCTAATACTATTAGCTCCATCTTTCTCCTCTCTTGGATCTCCAATGACTCAAACATGAGATACTTTGTTAAAGCCTCAAAATCCCTGAGGCTCTGCTTTTTAAAAGAAATCTATTTTCTTTTTTTCCCAGATCAGATAATTTCTATCGTTATATCTTTAAGCTCACTAATTCTTACTTCTTTGTTCATTCTTCTGTTGCCTATCCATTATTATTTTGTATTTTTGGTTATTGTATTTTTCGGTTCTAAGTTTTCCATTTGGTTATTCTTTATATCTAATATTTCTTTGAGACTTTCTATTTTTCAGTTTGTCTCAAGCCGCTTGTAATTGCTCATAGAAGCGTGTTTATGGTGGCTGCTTTACTGCCTGTCAGGCGGTTTCAGTTTCCGAGTTGATATTTCTTGATTATATTTTCTCCTTCGAGTTGATATTTTCCTGGTGCTTAGTATGACCAGTGATTTTTCATTGCATCTTGAATATTTTCAGCATTATGAAATAGATAATATTGTCTTCTGGTTTACCAGTCTCCTCTGACAAAGCGCCCTCTGGTGGGGAAAGAGGGAGCCGCCCCGTTGTTGCGGCCTCCTTCACTGCCGGCAACAAGGGAGTTGATGATCACTACTAGACCTCCACTGACACCTTCTGGCAGGAGAAGAGGATGATCGCTTCTTATTCTAAGCGGACAAACAGAAGGTTGGGTCAAGGACCACATTCATCATCAGAGGCCAGAGAAATGCGGGGCAGGATATGGAAGCTGCTGCCAGGACACTGGAAGCCCTGCAGCTTCTGCTCAGATCCTAGGAAGGGAAGGGGGAAAAGAGGAAAAACTGGGGACAGAGTGCAGGGGTGTATTTCGTGTAGTGTATGCTCAGGGCATCCTGACACCACACTGGTCATCGTTGACAAGAAGTAGTAGTGTAAGGCCACTGGCCAGAGCCTGGCTCACCGTGAACGTGGTTCAGGGCTTCCTGGACCAGGGCCCTGGCATTATCGGTCCAGTGTGGCTGGCTGGGTGCTCCCTCGGGGGGTTCAGGAGCTACAGAGGTATCCCAGATGGATACTTCGGGAAGGAGTAGAAAGGGTGAGGTGAGAACCTGAGACCTCTAGCACCTGAGGTTTGAATCACACACCTGAACTTGTCCTGCACCTGTCATTTCCTTGTCCCACCAAAACACTGGCCTTTCCTGCTCCCAAATGACCCCACAGGGGGTTGGGGTATGTTCATAGCCCTGAAGGGGAGGGTGGTTTAGTGTCTCCAGACCTGGTACCGACTGCAGCTCAGGGGGTCTGGAGCTCTGTTCTGCCTCCCCTAGTTCTGGGTTTGGTTGGCCTTTCCATGCCCAGCAAACCGAGACTTTCACCGCAGCTGAACTTGTGGGTCTTTTTCTCTCTCTATTGCCCAAGGTATAGGTTAGAGCCACGGTCCCCAGATCCTTCTGTCCAGAGGAGCCCTGTGCACTGCAGCTCCCACTCTGCTTGGCCTGGCAGCATATTTGGACGAGAAGTGTAGGTCTCTTTGAGGCTTAGGGGTAGGTGCACCGGTGACTCCAGAGTGGCCTGGGGCTTTCCTGGCCCTCCCTCAGGAGGCTCTGTTCCTGGGCTGATGTCCTCATCTGCCACCCCCACTTCTTTGGCCCTGAAGGTGGTGTCCCCCACAGAACTCTGGAGAGGGTCTCCCGCCTGCTCTTCCCTGTACATCCCAGTCCACATCCGAAAATATTCAAGACTTCAAGACTAGACTCCTCTGGGCTTTCTCATTCCCGAGATGAGAAGGAGGCCCATGAACCAATAACCACCCTCTTCTTCAAAGGTCTGGAGAAGAATCCTTCCTTGTCTTCTAGCTTCTGGTGGCTCCCAGCATTTTGGCCTCTAGACCCACCACTCCAGTCTCTTCCTCTATGAGCCTCTGTGTCTTCATATAACCTTTTTATAGAGACACCAGCTATTGGCAGTGGCTGGGTGGCTTGGTTTGTTGGAGCACTGTCCCATACACCAAAGAAAAAGGTTGTAGGTTCGATTCCCAGTCAGGGCACATACCTAGGGTGCAGGTCCAATCCCTCGTCAGGGTGTGTACAGGAGGCAACCGACCCGATGTTTCTCTCTCACACTGATATTTCTGTCTCTCTCTCGCTCTCCTTCCTCTCTCTAAAATCAATAAACATACAATAAAACATTGGATGAAGATTAAAAAAAAAAGGCACAAGTCATTGGATTAGGGCCCATCCTCCTCCTGTATGATCTCACTTTAGTCAATTATATGTGCAAAGGCCTTACCTTCTGAAGTTCCGGGTGGCCAGCAGTATTGGACGGACACCATCTAACCTAGTACAGTATCTGTCTGGGGAAAATTTTTATATTTCTTTAAAATAGCCATAATTATTTTCTGATGGGATTTGTGTACTTGATGGGCCCTGTAGAGCTTCTCCAACCTGGGAACCAGATTGGCTACTGCTGCTCTTAATGCCTGTTGCACATTGATTTTTCTGCACTGCTTGCTTTTAATTACAAACCTAGCTTTGCAAAAGTATAGCATAATCAAAAATTGGAACTAAACTGCCTCGAGTTAGTAGTTTCAGAGAGTGTGGTTAAACACTATGAAGGCACCTCCACACACGGTCTGTGAGCCACAAACCAGGTCCAAAGCATCACCCTGAGTGCAGCAGTCACGTGCTTGAGGAAGACAAGTAGCTGACATCAGAGGGAGCTCCTGCTGGTGGCTCCTTGGGAGGGGGCTGGAGGGCGATTGTTCTGGAGGCAGCTGCACCCTGAGCCCACTCTCCCCTGGAAGGCCCTGTCTATGTTTGAGTAGCACCCTGATCTAGCAGATCCAAGCTTTTAGCTATCCCCAACACTAAGGGCTCAAGACCCGGGCCTGCTGAAGTTGTCCCTCTCTTGGTTCCAAAGGACATCACAGCCAGGCCCCACACTGCCTGCTTTAGAACAGGAGACTTTGGGGATTGACTTCAGGACCTTTCATACCTAAAGCAAGAAAAATATTTGTGGTCAAAAGATTCCCTTTGGCTTGCGGTCCTCGGTGACTCTAACTTCTGCTCTCCCACTTGCCTGATGCGGTCTGGATTTCCCTTCGAGCGCGAGACAGGGATTGAACGGAGAGGTGGGGCCCCCACACGTGGGATTTGGGATGCCAACCGGGTCATGTCTAAAGTCTGGGCACCTGCTGCTTCCCTCTGCCCCGGAATACTGGGGTCTGCAGTTCAGGGAAACACCACGTGCCCTTGCTCCACCCCCTGCCAGAATGCCGGCAACTTCTGGCCAGCAGAAGTGAGCTCAGGTCCACGCTGGCCCTGAGTGGACCTTGGCCCTTTTTGGTTATGGCAACTGGGAAGAAGCATAGCTGAATTACAGAGCTCATATAGAACCTGAACCTGGGAGCACT